AAGACCCGTAACTTTATCTGTTTGCACTGACGAAACATCCGGCTTGACGAGGACTTCTCTATCACATTACATCATCCAAACATAATTAGAACATAGCGCGCCTTGTGTGAGTCCGCTGCAGCCTAAAGACCATCCATTCAACCGCCACGATACATTGGGTCATCTTATTTTCGTCCGGTGCATAAGACACTGTACAATGATTGGTAGTGAACTCTATTTTTGATTCTAAGCTACTGCCGCGAGTAAGTTCTCCTTTTTCTCGTCATAACTGTAAGTATTAGTGCTGGTGTCCTGTTTTTCCTGTAGACCCGATATTTCAGCATCTCCATACATTGACCGCTTATCAGTGCTTTTAACGTGGTTGATGTGTATTCGATTTGGATTGGAATTTCCAGCCAGTTAGAATTCACTTTCTTCGTGCAAGGAATTTCCATAAGACATTTTTCATTATTCGAATGTTTCTACATGTTTTCACTAATTGTCATTCGCTGAGCGCCTTTCATTTTCCGTAACTGCAGGCAGCGGGTGACTGACCAGCGCGGCCGTGCTGTCCTTACGTAGGATTATTTACGTGAAACTATTCGTTTTTGAACAATCGAAACGGCGTTTTACGAAAGCGCCAAGATTAGCCTTAAAATCAGCTTGATCAGAAAGCTTTGGCCCTTAGACGAAAGGAACCGTGATCTCTAAGTAAATTAGCTCGTTCAAGAAGCAAACTGCTTGCTGTAGCTTGTTCAGTCTCTCTAATCATCTGTCCATCTCAGCCATGTGAAATTGTCCAGTTCGTAATGAAACTGTATGAAGCGATATGGTCCTAGTTAGATAGCATGTGTGTTAAAGGTTTGTTTGGGTTTACATTAAATTACCATGCGAATAATGTATAACAGTGTTACTATCCATGTATAATGTGATAAGGTAGGTGATTATTGCGGAAGATTTACTGGCAATTAGATTAAGGAGTGTCATATCGAATCCACAGTGAATCGTGTCTCTGTCAGATGAAGCCCGCATCAGGACAGGAGATGACCACAAGAGAGATCTTCGATACGAGCGGGTCCGCCGAGGAAAGTTTCCATAGCAGATTTGCACATAAATTTAAAGAATCGCCGTTAGTGGTTGTCGGTAGGTATCTGTGACTGTGTCTTGCACCTTTTAAAGATGTCGTTTAAAACTGGTAACGCCTCAAGCAGTAGATTTGCCTCTGTTTTAGGTGGAATTTATTTTTCACACGTTTCATTCTTTTAATCTTACCTATTAAAATACAGAACCTTTTAGCAATAACCTTATTATTATACGGCTATATAATGGACGAAGCTGATGACCAAAATGTTCGCTTCTCAATCGGCTGCTCACGTTAAGCATAACCAGCGATAACGCGTTTTCTGGTTAGTACTGTCCTTAGAGATTTTATCTTGGCTTAAATCTTGTATTTATTAATGTACTACCTGACCACTAGAGCGTAACTGAAGTAGAAGACACACCCGGAGAAGGCGTTGTACTTCCAAATTTCAGGTTTATTTGCTCACATTGACACGTGATGGCACACTTGGGGCTGTTGTGAGCTGAACATCAGATACAGCATGGTAAGGCTCTTTTAGTGTGTGACGACCTTGTGGACATATTTATAGTTGAGGTCTTTAAGACCAGCTCGACCTCAATAGTGTGTCTATGCATGTGTCGTCTGGAAATTCTGAAAGACTTCAGTTTCGTCACATTGACCTTGAGACCCGTTATCCTATCTAACATGTGCAACAAACGGATGTAAATTTGCGGGCTCTCGAAAAATATACAAACATACTGTAAATCAATTCGTCTATAACAATGATTGCCAAGATTGACTGTTAAGCCAATATATACACCAAGTATATACAAAAAACATCCAAGTTTTTTTCTATGTACTTTATAAGACGTAGACATTACATGACAAAATATATTACACGCATGCATTGGTCTCATTTCGGCGATGTGCTTTGTAATATAAACTTTTTTAGATAGAAGCAGGTTTCTAGTTTCTAATTCGGTTCCTTTTTTTCATCATAGGACTGGCCGGCTGGGTTGGAATCGTCGCGTATGGCATCCATTCATTCAAGAAACGGTCAATAAGACCATCGTTGTTCATTATTCAGCTTCGACTTGCCGCTCAGAGCGCCGTAGTCGGAATGCTGATGCTCGGTTGTAGTTACCAACTCTACAACAGGCTTAAAAAGACAGAAGATACTCAGCGTGAACAAAATACCCGAAGCGAATTTAGCCCAAAAAATTAAAACGGAATTTACTGAGCCTAAAAACTCGGAATCTCCCATAGTACAGTGATTAATAACTTCCAAATGTGGGTTGAGTTTGAACTTGAAGGAAATTAAGTGAAAAAAATTACCATCACCGTTGGTCAGTCTGCAGGGACAGCAGTCGATTGACGGCAGAAAAAAACTACAACTAATTTGTATAGTGGCGGCCCGCATTGACAACTTTTGCTTAACTGTAAGAAGGATACGCACCTTTAGGAATTTGATTAAAATAGAGAGGTAATATTACGAAACGACCTATCTCCGGTTCGATTGCAGCTGTTCGTTAATAGATAGTGCCTTTTTTGCGAAGCGCAGTTCCTAAAAAGAAAAGTCCTGATCCTGTCGAAAAAATTGAAAATTATTGTGGATGACAAGCCAGTGAAATAGTCTAGCATTTCCAAAAAAATTATTCGGTACTAATAACCTAAAAAATAATAACCGGCATAGCAAGCTGCGATGATAGCAGTGGTTGCGGTGACGTTATTATTGGGTGTATTGGCATCTCTTGCTGGAATGTAACAGTATCAAGGATACACCAAAGTATGGCAATACTTACTAAGTGTGTAAGATATTTAAAAGTAAACGAAATAGGTTAGGAAGAAGCGATATTTAGGAATTAACTGCTGTTTTTTTTTCGTTGAGATTTGCTTTATTAAAAATAAAGTATGTATGTTGTTGGGTCTAAATTGTTGTATTTGGCTGTACACATGCATGGAGTACGATAAATAGCATAATTGAGACGCTCACCTTCGACATCAAACGAAATGGTGAAACGAATTCGATAATTATTATATAACTATACTATACGCTAGTTTGATTATTTATCTTTGAATAGAATTTTTGAATGGAGACTGCGACATAGATGCTGTACTTACTTAGGCAAGTGGCTCACAGTAAAACTACTACATGCCGCATATCATTTCTGTGAAGCGTTATCGGTTCGTCGTAACTATATGAAAACGTCAGATCTATGAGATTCCTGGGACATCTAAGAGGTTCAGTTTCTTATAATCGCCTTTTGGAAAGCTATCGATCAGTTTAGATCAGTTTTAACTAGAAATTTTTAGCAGGGGAAAATCTATTTATTATACTTACCTTTTTCTAGTGTAGCGTTAAGGCGCATTTGTTTTTCGAGCCTCTGCACCCCATACGTACCGAATATATGCTCATTTGTAACAACGACTCGATTCGTTCTTGCCTAAGCTGTAGATGTTTCTCGTGAGATCGCTTTGATGTTCGCTCGGTTAGTACCTAATTTTTTGATGCTAATTGTCAAAGCAGTAAAGCGACTCAAGTGTTTCTTTTTCGAACTAATATCAATTAAAGGACAAGCTTATTTGGCTGCCAATCCTGACTATATCTATTTACAGTTCTCTTTAGAGCGAATTCGCTATTACGAGTCTTACGATCCAGTGCGGAAGGTGCCTTACGTGAAACGAGTTGAAAGTAAAAAATATTGACTATAGAATACAAAAGGATATTACTTTATTCAATCATTGATTCGCTTAGCTATTCTTCTTAGTGCACAGTTGTCTGTGTTGTATTTTGTTCTTGCTTTGTGTTTTTGTTGTTTCTGCTGTGTAGTGTTTGTCTTTTATCAACTATCGTCATCATTTTATAGTCTAGTTACTGTTGTATCACAGAAGTGTAAGTTAGAAAACGCTTTGTTGCAGCCATTAATAACGTGCTCACGTACAATCGTTGCTTCTTGACGTTATTACTAATACGGTTGCTTCGGTGGGCGCTAGATACAACAATTGTCTCGCCGAGACACACACTCGTCAGGCATTGTACGTGGAGAGCCATGTGATTGCTTGGTGTACGAGATGCATGCAGTCAAAGAAACGGCGTTTCCGCTAACAATAACTTTTCGAAATTTGCATGCTCTCTCGCTCTTCCTCTTTCTCTCTACCGTTTTAACCTTCCCTTCGTCGTCATTGATGGACGAGACGGGACAGGAGAACAGGAATAGTTCCTTTCAACTGTTCAGTTTTTTTGCTTATTATTTATATTAGTTATTTATCTTACGCACAGTTCCATTATTTCTGTTACTATTACTAGCATTTATATTAATTAACAGTCGCTTAACACCAGGCATATCACTAGGTGACTGATATGAAATTAAAAAAAAATTGGGTCTGCAGGCAGAAGGAAATCGCTTAAGCAGGAATTACGACTTCTTAGAGAGTTACACCGGCATAACATTCAGTGTATCTAGAAGGGAGCTTACATTGCCGAAAAGCCAAAGTACGAGAACGAAGTTTTGGCATAAGCATCGTCTTTGAGAGTGTGGAAGCTGGGGAAATGACAGAGTGACAATTTTTTCTTAAAAAAAAAAAACGAAATTTTTTTGGATAAGCTTACTGGTAGTTCTTCGAGAAGACACCGCAGATCTTTGTGTTTGTTCAAAAGATTTTAGAGCTCTGTGCAGAAATGTTATTGTAATCCGCTCTGAGAGCTGCTTTCTCGTGAGCTTCAATTCTATGTATTGCCTGTTTTTTTTTTTTTAATAATAACTCTGTTTCCTTATAGTTAGTTGATATACTTTTAATACTGTATCTTTCTATTGTGTTTTCCATGTTTTGCTATTTGATTGAGGTCGTTCCTGTCTCTGAGGTTCGCTTGATGTTTGGTTGTGTCTATTTTATTAGAGTTGCGATCATCATTGCTATTATCGAAGTACTTGTTTTAGTCGTAGAAATAGTTGTTGTCATGATGCCCGAAGCATGGCGCGTCGCTTTCGCGTTGGACGTGTCCGTTTTTAAGCGTTGCGCTTGTGCGCGGTGCACAAATCGTCACGCCCTCTCTGGGTCCAGTGATTGTGAGAAGCTGCGTAGAAGGGCCGTCTACGTGATGAGTAGATTTTCCCAGGCTCTGAATAATGAAATACGCCAGAGACAATTCTGGATAGTTCTCGATTTTCTTTTATCGTACGCTCTGTCTATCTCATTTCTTATGCACTGATACAATACATGTATACATGTGATGGGTACAATAAACGAAGTATTCCTACATATGCGTCTCATCCTTATCATTATTTTCCATATATCTACCTCATAGCTCAATAGTCCAACGCTTGATGATGCATGATGTTCTTAGTTATAGAGGGCATTTGTTTGTCTATGTTTATTTCTGTACTACACTTCTGGCAGACTCGAGAGTTCTCATTCATCTTTACGCATTTTCTAATCAGGCATCAATTAATATTTCATTAATCAATTATGATTATTGCCATTATTATAATATAATACTACAATTGTATGACTTATATCTATATATTATTATTATCATTGTGTTCCTCATCATTATTTTGGTTATATCATCTTAAACACTAAACGAAGAGCGGGTGAGAGTAGTTTGAATAGACAAAAATAGTAGAACTAGAAAACAACTCAGCACATTTTAGGGTCAGTTACCATCAGCCATTTATCGTACCCATATCTGTATCATCTGCCTTGGTTATGTGCCATTTTTGCATTTTTATACGGCATTCTGTATTGATAAGTGAAGACGGTGAGCGACGAATGCATTACTGAACTACGATAATATATATGTATA